TTTGCCGAAAAGACCGATGCCGGTAGCGACAAGAACTGCGGGGGACTCTGCAAAAAACGCATCTTCACACGGGCAGCGCGTGCGTTGGCCAATTTTTTTTTTGGTGCAAGATAGTGGGCACATCAGATGGATGTAAAGCAACGAGCATTCATACAGTTAACGACCTGATTGTCTCAAGTTTAGCGCAGAAACGCATGATTGGACCTGCAACTTTAACGCATCACAACTTGCTTTTGCTTCCCTGCACTTCGGTTTCAGTTTTGCATAACTATGACATTTTTATGTTTGATAGAATTTAGAATATGTGTAAATGCTTGAAGATTCGAGACAATATGCAATTGTAATTTCAGGCAGCAATTGAACTCGGCCTGGCTGCAGGCGAGTTGCAGTGACTAAGAGTGGAGGATAGAGGGATGGTGGCTGAGAGGAGAGGAGATGAGAGGGGCGGAGGGGGTGGGGAAAGGGAAGGGGTGAGGGTTCAGGTTTTGGGGGTTGTAACGGATGAGAGGGAGGGGGCAAGGTTATTGGCTGCAAAGCAGCTGAAGCTCCGGCTGGGAGTAGGAGTTGAAACGGAAGCGGGGTTTATGAGGGAGTGTGCCCCTGTGAGTTTCTTATGCTCATTCTGGAACTCGGTGCTGAAAGAAAGTTAGCAAACTTGTTGCATCTGGGACCCTGCCTAGGCAAAAAAACTCAATAACATGGTTTTCACAACTCGGGCCGAATCCGAAAGTGAATGCATATTGTGCAGGCGGCTGAACTGAGTAGTTGCATAATTTTAAACTTTTTTAATTTTCAGGTTGGAACATACAGCGCCCTGAACTCACAGGGTGCTCTTGTTGAAGCGAAAACGTCTCCGGAAACTCAAAAAGAATTGGCTGCTTTAATTCAGATTCCTGTTGTCGCAGGAACTGTTAATCGGTAACAGTTTAATGAAAATCTGAAAATTTGCAAAAGCTTGACAGGCACATACACACACGTGTACGCTCACACACACACACACACACACACACACACATACTATCATAAGCTAGCCTTGATGTTAGGGCTGAAAACAGGCAATATGAGGAACATGAAAAGACGTTAAAATCAACATTTTTTAAATGTACAAACACATATGCATGCAGCTGAAAGCTGCGAATTCGGTCTAAAGATGTGCAGCTAGGAAAAAGAAAAGGCTAAGTGCACCTGAGTTTCACACGGGCAATCCAAGCGTTACTAGTTACATGCAGTAAACGATACCGAGAATGAGCAAAAAGTGTGCACCAACGTCTTTATTTTACAAGTAAGCATTTAGCACATAAAAAATTTTGCAGCGGCTCAAATTTGATCGGCGCTGGTCTGTTTGTAAATGACTGGATAGCATTCACCGGTCTGGAGACGACCAGCACCGAATTATCGGTGATTGAAGCGGTCTTCAAACTCGATGATCGTGAAACATCCTCTATTAGGACTGATATGCGTGATTCATTGATTGATAATATCATGTAATTTGGAGCAGTACGAGTCCTGGGGTTTTATATGGACATGAAACAGCAGTGAAATGTGCTCGTTCGTTATGGTTAATAATGTTTCTGGATTTCCCAAATCGTAACTTCCTGTCCCTCCAACTCACGCATAGCTGCGAAGTAAATCACGTCCTCATGTCAGGGATAGTGACTCGTTTTTT